TTGCAAACAGTGCTGTGCTGCGCCGCTTCTTGCAGAGGCTGTGCCTGCCTTTCCTTCTTCCTGCCCCACCCTCTGCCTTTTGACAGTCCTGGATCATGCGGGGGGGGGGGGGGGCTGCCCAGACCCAGGGCAATTTTCAGCTGTCTGAACCCAATTTGGCAATAACCAGGTGCCACCTGAATCGGCCTGATTCAGTTTTCAGGATTCATGTTTTGGCCAAATCCAGTTCACAGCCTTAACATTTAGGACAGATCAGGAAGGAACCATCGGGGCCAAGGAAGTGCTTGTGAGATTAAATGAGCAGAGCGGAGAAAGCTGCTAGAGGCAAGAAGAATTCCTTCAGAAAATGGAAGTCTTGTCCAAATGAGAATAAAAAGGAACACAAATGTGGGCCAAATAAATGCTAGTGGACAATAAGGCATGCGAGAAATGAATTTGAAGAGCTGCTGCTAAAACCATAAAGACTTACAACTAAAAAAATCTTTAAATGCGATGGAGGCAGCTGGACTGTTGGATGAAAAGGAGTAAAAGATGTACTAATGGAGGAATTTTTTGAATCTGTCTTCATGCGGAAATATATGCTGATCTCTGTGCCTGAAATCACTTTCACATGAAGGGAGTCTGAAGAACTGAGGCAAACAGAGGCAACAAGAAACTAAGTTCTAGACCTAATTGACAAAATACCAACTGCCAAATCATCAGATCTGAATGGCATCAACTATATGTGAAAGAACTGGCTGTCTCCAACCTGACTGAAGGGACAGTAAAATGGCAAATGGGTGACACAATGACTCCTGGCTAAAGCCCTAGCAGTATTCATATATTTACATATGGACATATTAGGAGATCTATGAGAGTGCACAAGATTAAAAATATAATAGACTAATACTTGAAATGGGCAGGAATTAAATAGATCAGATTCTGGAACTGACCATCAGCGAAGGCTGGGTATATAAGTTTGAAGACGACACTGCAGTAGCATCAGTGAAGGTCCAGTGGGTAGGTGGCTCTATATAAGGATACAAGTGAGTATGGCGGAAGCTCCTTTCTCTATTTCTCCAGAGCCATGATGACATTGCAGCTGGAATGGAATCTGGACCAAACATATGTACTTCAAACTGAGTTGAATCTTAAAAGGTAATGGGACCCCTGACAGTTAAGTCCAATTGCAAACTACTCTGGGAAGTCCAAAAATGTTTATTCGGCTTTACGCCCATCATAAAGCACAACACACAAAACAAATCAAATAAAACAGCGGTCTCGAACAAGCCACAAGTAATATAACACAATTCACAGCTCACAAGGACAAATATTGGCAAATCAAAACAGAAATTTAAGATTAAAGTTAAAAATTTGGGCACTACGCTAAATCAATTTCTGATGTCAATATCAAAAATTCTTATAAGTATCAATAATCAGTTAACATTCCATTCCGTCTCTTGTACGAGAGAACGGCTGTTAGGAATTTAGCAACCTGTAGAGTAATATAAGGATCTACATCTTGAAGAACCCAGGCAAGCTGTAGGTCTACTGGTTTGTCAGCCATAGGCTGGATTATGGAGTTTAGTATACTAGCGCGAGCTAAACTGTACATAGGGCAGATAAACATAACATGATGTAAAGATTCAGATGTTTTCATTTCACAAGCACACATTGAAGGGACTTGGCCCTTAGTGAATCTATGTCTCAGCACGTTTGTTGGGAAAACATTGAACCTGGCTCTAATGAAGGCATATCGGTGAGATGCGGCTATAAGCGATGTTAAGTAGGACGGAGCACGATAGATAGGGGTTATGCCGAGATTTAACGGGGAGCAGGCTCCACCACCAGCTAAGAAATTTTGGTATAGCTCCACATCATCCAGCCTTTGATTTATACACCTTTTGCCGCGTTTAGATCCAGTTTGAGCAATTCCGTGGGCGAGATCTCATAGGACAGCAATTTGGCATGGATTTTCCTGACCACAAATTTGTAAAGTCATCCCGCCACATGCATTGAATGAGATAGTGGTTCGGTAGTTTATGCCATAGGGATATCCAATAAATCAAAACTCTCCTCCATAAAACTAACTCCACTGAGGGGATCTTCATTTCTAAGCGAATAGCCGCATTACTTACGCATGTTGGTAGTTTTAAAAGTCGGCGTAAGAATTGGCTTTGAAGCGACTCTAAAGGTGAAAGGTTTGCAAAGGCAGCCCATAAAGGTGCAGCATAGGCCATTGTGGCCATCACTTTGATGCTATACACTTTCAAGGCCGCAGGAATGAATAAGGCCCCTCAGAGTAGAAAAACGGAGGAGGGAGTGTGATAGGGCTTTTGTCTTGTTTTGAAGATATTCAACGTGCTCTTTCCACCCTAGATTATATTGAAAATAAATTCCTAAATATTTAAATTTATGTACTTGTTCAATTTTCGTGCCCTCCAATTTCCATGAATATAATTTTCGACTCCTTGAAAATATCAGTACTTTGGACTTGGTGTGGTTGATAGACAGATGATTAGAATGGCAATATGATGCAAAAATCTTTAGTGCCCTCCTTAAACCCACTCTGGAGTAAGAGAGTAGTACCGCATCATCTGCGTAGAGAAGTAAAGGACAACGATAATCTGCTATACGGGGGGTGTGGATAAATTTTTGTGAGTCGATTAATGGGTTCCTCATATCACTGATAAATAAGTTAAAGAAGAGGCGCTAAAATACAACCCTGGCGTACACCCTTATTTACTGGCACTGGGTTAGTTAGGTCACCAGCAGGGGATATTCTTACCCTGGCCACGGACCCGGCATGAAGTTGGGAGATAAGCCACAGGAGCCTTCTATCTATTCCCCAGCAGGCAAGTTTATCCCATAGTAATTGCCTCGGAATACTATCAAACGCAGCTTTCAAATCTATGAAGGCTGCGCAAAGTTGGCCCCGTCGAGGTGTCGAGTATTTCCGGGCTAAGTGATAAAGAATAATTGCCTGATCTGTTGTGGATCGGTTTAATCTAAATCCAGCTTGCTCATGCCCAATCAGGTCAGCCTCAGCTGACCACTTCATCAGCCTTGCCAGCAAAAAACGGGCATATATTTTCCCAATGGACGATAGCAGACTGATATTCCGGTAATTCCCTGGGTCACCGGGAGAACCTTTTTTGTAGATAGGAATTATAATGGCCTCCTTCCACGTACCTGGTATTAAGCCCGTGGCATTTATTGCGTCAAACGTTTTAGCTAAAATCCCTGCCCACCATGCAGAATGTAGCTTTATAGCCTCAACAGGGACCAAATCGGGCCCAGGGGCCTTACCAGTTTTCAGCTCAGCTATCAATTCTAGGATTTCAGCAGGGTCGGTATTATGCCAGACGGGAAGGGGATTAGAAGGTCTCCAGCGAGTGGCCGGAGCTTCTGCCACTGAGAAATATTTTCTCAGGAACTGCTCCCATGTAGGGGCCGGGATCACCGTTAAGGGGTATTTCGTGTTTCTTCCCTTTATTAAGGACCAAAATTTCCGGGAGTTATGAGATTTTGCGGTAGAAATTATAGTCTGCCAGCGATTTAAATGCCATTCCCGTTTGGCCGATTTCTGGGCCTGTTTGTATGCTTTTTAGCCAGGGAATAAGATGGAGGTAAGGCCAGAGCGCCGGAAAGTTTATAGTCATTATATATTGTATGTAGATGGAGTCTGGCTAGTTTACAAGCAGAGTTGAACCAAGGGGCGCCAAATTTAAAATAATCGTTTTTAACTCCATAGCTTGGAGAAGTAAAAAAAGCGAGTTAAAACTTCTATCAGGCAAGAGAAAAAATTCAAACAGGTAATAGGATCACGCGGGACTATTCCTACGTCCGGCTGATCACCAAGAAACTTTTCTCGGATAAAATCCATATATCTATGGGCGAGGGCAGGGGACCATCTAATCCCCTTTATTTTAGTGGACGGCTCCACAATCACCGGGATTGGGTGGGAGCGCACGAGCAGGTGCCAGTCAACACATAACTTGGTTGTCAGGGGAAGATGGTCACTAAATTGGGCATTATCAATTTTAAAAGAGGTGACATTCAAAAATAGATCCCGAGAAACCAATACATAGTCAAGAACACTGTTTGATTTTAACCCCAGATGGGTGAACTCTCCTGGTATATCTGGAGGACACCTGCCATTTAATATAATTAAATTAAGGCGTAAAGCCATCTGGTAAAGCATCACTCCCGCCTTATTGACTTTTACATCCTTTGATATTCTAGTGGGGATATATACTAGATCGTAGGTTTGAGCGCCGGGGTCGACCCACCATTTAGACTTTATAAGAGCTTCCCGATTTGAGGCTATCCGAGCGTTAAAATCGCCTCCGGTAATGGAGGGGACATTAGGATATTTAAGATAACAAGAAAGTAAAAAATCCTCTAGGGATTCCCATCTAGAAATAAGATCAGCTGCTAACCCTCCCGGGGGGAAATAGACATTTGTAACCAATAAAGAGAAGTTTCCACCAGAGATCAGTCCAGTAATAGCATAAGGCGGCAGTGCATGCACTAGTGAAAGTTTAGCCCGAAGTTTAAGAGAGATACCAATTGTAAGGCCACCTTTAGGGCGGCCACCATTCATTGACGGGCTAGCAGGCAGACATATAAACTCAAAGCCATTTAACTCAATTTCCTCCTCCACCCAAGTTTCTTGTAATAGTATGATAAAAAGGAATTAATATATTTTGGAATTCTGGGTCTGATTTTTTACTTTTCCATCCAGCAATGTTCCAACTTAATATTGAAGGCTGGGGATTCCTCGTTCCTCCAATTGACTGTCATTCGGAAGGTTGGCTCAACTTTAATACGGGAAGAGGGGAGCCAATAAAAGTCAGTTATCTTCCTCTGATGAGAGACCTCTCGTAAAAGCTGAGTGGGAGGATTAACAAGGTTGTCTGACTGTTGAACTTGGCCACTCGATCTACTAAAAGTAGGACCTTGAGCAGGGGCGGCCCCCTTTTCCAAAAGAGTTTGGTGGGGCACCCGGTGTGGTCCATCTATCTCGTCAGCCGGTTGGTCTCCTGTAGTCTGCTACTGGTCTTTTGGGCTACTTGATTTATGTGGCCTGTTGGATCTTCAGTCAGTTCCGTCGCAGGTCTTGCTGTTAAATCCATAATACTCCGCAAAGAAGAATAAGGCTGGGCGAGTGGGCTATTTGAGAAGGTTGGCAAAGGCACCTCATCTCTTGATTGGTCAGTGCTATAAGAAGGTTCCAGGTCTGGCATCGATGAATGTGTAGAAGGGGATTTTTCCTGTTGTGTGCTGCTTTCTTCAGGTATGTTTGTCAAGGGACGGTCATATAAATCTATTAAGAGCACGGAGGGTTGTTCTGGTTGGAGGGAAGGACTGGTAGTTGCATCTTGGGGTTGTATCTTATCCTCCATTACCGACATACATTTAACATTAGATATTGCGATATCCATATGAACTGGTTCTTCTAGGATGTCATACTCGCTGTACATAGGTATTCTGGTGCTGAGCTTCCTGATAAGTTGGGTTTTAAGCGATTCGAGTCTATTAATAATTTCTTTTTGTTCCACCGCTGGTAAATCTGCAAAGGAGGCAATGAGTTCGATCTCTTCTGGTGGTGTCAGGCCACTTTCCGGATGGTCGTTGTTCTTTGCTAAGGGAGTGGAGGCCACTTGACTCATCTCCTGGAGGAGAACACCCACTCCTGTGGCCACTGGTGGATCGGGTTTGGCAGGTTTTAAGTCCTCTTTGGTTATTGCCTCCAACAGTAGGGGTTTAGGCGTAGGGTCTATAAAGGCTCTCGTTGGTGCTATACCGCAGCGAAACAAAAAGCTTTCCTTCGTAATATGATAGTGGGAATTTTTGTGGATTGGAACGCAAGCAGGACTCTCTGTGATTTATGATGATAGACAAGGGGAGGACTGCACAGAGGTCAATCTGTGTTGCCTCCATATTTAAAAGCACCATTAGGAGTTCCTTGGCACCGCCCAGAGTTCTCCATCTTGGGTCCCCATTTTGTATAGTCAGGCACACTTTCCTTGGTGTTAAAATCAAAGATTGATGACCTAATTGAAGGTTAAGGTTGTATTTAAATTTGACAGTACGTTTGTTATTTAAGGACAAACTCCCCGTCCCCTTCCTCTCTTCAAGAGACTTAACACCGGCTGTCGCTGGAGAGGTAGTAACTAGCTTTTGTTGGAGGCTGTGCAGCTGGGACGAAAGATCATCTAGTCTTTTGAATATACAGTGCAAAGTTTTGATTATTAAATGGGACTGTTCAAATGTCATATAATTGGCTGTGCCAAGGACCAGTTCCTCCTTCTGAGGAGAGGCTACACTCTTACTGTTGCCCACATTGCTTGTTATTTGAGGTATTATTCGCTCTTCGTCTTTAAGTGCTGACACGGAATCAGTCAGAGGGTTAAATCGGTTCTGAGTTTCTACCGTGTAGGAACAATCCAGTAGATTACTCCCTTCCTTAAAGTGACATGGTTCCACCCTTGTTTGCTTTGATCTCGGAAAGGGAATGGGGACTGTCTCCTCCGAATCTCTAAGACGTTTCCCATATCCCATAATTCAGATATCGAGTAGAGGGGGGATAGTATTTTAACGTCAACTAAATATTTCCTTCAAGCCTGCCAGCACTTGCAGTGGGGGTATATTTCACTGCCTGTTCATAAGAAAGTCGGCGTCTATCACCTTCACCCTCACAGACCAGCAATTTAGTTCGATAAGGAGACTACCGGTATGCAACACAGACCATTCCTTTTCAAGGTAGGCAAGTAATTCTGCCAGGGGATAAAATGAAGCAGAACTTGCCTTCAGTTTCAGCCGCTCCTTGTTTCTCGGCGTTTTTCCTCCCCCTCTTCCTTTTTCTAAGACTTTTAACTTGAGCTTTTAACTCAAGCCTTGAATATATTAGTTAAAGAACAGCTGCCAAATGTTGTAGATAAAATACTGAGGCTGATAAAAGCTGAATAAAAACTGATAAAACTAATAAAACTAATAAAAACCGCACAACTGCTGTGGAGTTCAAGTCAGTGCTTCCACTA